CCTGAATGGCACTTATTTGCAATGGACTTTTAAAAGAAATGAACAGAAAATCTACTTTTTATATCTCCCTAATATTACATGATGCGGCTTTAATGTTGAACTACAAGCCTTTAATGTCTGCAACATGGAAGGACTAAACGGGATTTGGATATAGGTCCGTCAACTGAACATTGTATATATGCTGTTGTAGAAATTTCGATCGGTAGCCCAAGTTATCTATGCCTAAATAGGGTACAAGGAATCGTACGCACCATCGAACACTATCGCGAAAGGTTGAGACTTAGAAGCCTTGCCCTGTAGTGTCTGGGTCGATATATTGATAGCAAACGTTAACCTTCCCAACAAGGCGTGTACTTAAAGGGTCAGCTCAGTAGCAAAGGTGCCTCCCCTATCCCTAGAAATGACTTTCTATGGATGACATTATCTGGGGACCAGACGTTTGCCATTGGAACATTTCAAACTTCTTTGATCTGTACAATCATAGAAACTAGTTCAAGAGTAAAAGTCACACTACTTTTAAATTAGGAGGAAACCTTGGAATCATATCAATAAAGCATCTTATTTTACTCCAGGTACTTTCAAGAAGACCATTTTCAAGGAGTTCTCAAGTTCCATTCACGGCAACTCTAGTATATTTATCATGATGTAGATGCTTTCAAGTCGACTTTGAGAGCTCCATTGTGAGCAAATCCATGCTATGGGAGGAAACCTTGGCATCATAACAAAAATGCATCTTATTTTACTCTCTTGCCCAGATGCTTCCAACAAGGCCATTTTCAGAGAGTTCCCATGTCCCATTCACGGCAACTCTAGTATATCTATCCGGCTGTAGATGCTTTCAAGTCGACTTTGAGATCTCCATTGTCAGAAAATCCAAACAAAGTAAACTTACAATAACAACGTTGTCTGGAAGGGTGATACTCAACCAGAGGTGACACAAAGTCTCCATACCTTTGCTTGGAACCTTTTTAAACTTCTTTGATTCATACAATCATAGAAACTAGTTCAAGAGGTGAAAGTGTGAAAGTCCCACTGATTTGGGATGAAACCTTGGCATCATACCAAAAATGCATCTTCGTCACTCTCTGGTCTAGATACTCCCAAGAAGACCATTTCAGAGAGTTCTCTAGACCCATTCACGGCAACTCTAGTATATTTATCCGGCTTTAGATGCCTTCAAGTCGACTTTAAGATCTCCATTGTGAGCAATTCCAAACAATTTAAGTAAACTTACAATAACAACGTTGTCTGGAAGGGTGAGACTCAACCAGAGGTGACACAAAGTCTCCATACCTTTGCTTGGAACATTTTAAACTTCTTTGATTCATACAATCATAGAAACTAGTTCAAGAAGTGAAAGTGTGAAAGTCACGCTGCTATGGGATGAAACCTTGGAAACATACCAAAAATGCATCTTCTTTACTCTCTGGTCTAGATACTCCCACGAAGACCATTTTCAAAGGGTTCTCAAGCCCTATTAACGGCAACTCTAGTGTATTGATCTGGCTGAAGATGCTTTAAAGTCGACTTTGAGAGCAACACTCCTACTGCCCTTGGACATGGACTTGAGTATTTGGGCTACATCATAAAGCTATCTACGCAAAGAGTTACCGAATAATGAACTTGGTTCTGTGTTGTTTCCATGAAAGACCAAGAGGGAGTACTTGAACTAAGTGTGCATTTGAGACTACTTTTGTATGTAGGTTAATGGAGCTGGCGTTTTCAGGTCATCAAAATGGACCTGCCATCGTGCGATCGATGTTTGCATTTGCACTTGAATGCTGTCGTAATGCATGTACAGGCACTTGAGCCTATTTTTCAGTCTACTTTAAAAGTACGTCAAGTTCAGGTAGTATTCAACTGTCTGTTAGCCAAGAACTAAGTACATCTACATGAGTGTACTCAGAACTGGTCTGCGTGGACATGCAACTAATCACAGAAGCTTGCGGCATGTCTGCGTGCTCATTATTTTAGGATTAGTATTCATAGTTTTTGCCGCAGTCGTTGATGTTTTTGCGTCTATCTTTATCGCTTCAGCTTCTTGGCTTCATCTGCGTGGCTTTTTAGTCTAATCTACGGGTCCACGAGGCTTCTTCCCGGTAATTTCCAGCTCTAGTCTCTGTGGATTCCGCCTCCGCCGTCTCTCACAGATTACTATGCCTTCCTGTCTAAGGCCACAGGAAGTAGAATTGATGGATGCCATCCTCCCTAGACTCCAAATCTAATGCGATAGAGCGAAGAAAACAAGGCGGGCCAAAATAAACAAGGGTCCTATATTTTCAACTTTTGAGATCATAAACCTTGTTAAGCAAGACTTGAGGCGACAAAAATGATATCACAACAAACAGGTCTTTATTCCTGCAGTTAACGGTATTATCAATCTGTCCTTTGTATGCATCTCAATTAACAATTATAGAAAAGATTATTCATACGTTTATATATATTTTCGGCATGTTGTCCACTGTCGGAGACCAACAAAATTTCTTTTTCTCTTCAAACATTAGGCAAAAATCAATGCGCGCGCTGATGTCATCCATAAAAACGACTTGTTGTTTCTAAATGGGTATGACTTGATATGTACAGACCTTGCGACGCGCGATCTCTTAGTGACACTCTCATCATCTAGTCATATCCAAGACTTCAGCTCGTTACATCTGGTTGTCATCTACCTTCGTTTTATGCATTTTAAGTAGCATTTGGGGGTGGAATTTTGGACTTTCGCTTGTCGCCTTAGCAACACGCTGACGCAGGTAGCAAATGTGGTATTTGGAGCTCTGACAATAGCGTGGGAAGCGGCAATCGGAAGCCCCAAGGCAGAATCTACCCGTCTTCCTGGTTGAGAGACTGTTGATTTCCTGACGTGCTCGCTGTCGTCTGATCAGCTGACATTACGGAATACGGCTGCATGTCGTGTAAATGCATGTCGTTGGGGTCGTGTGGCGCAGCGGTAGCGCGTTCGGCTCAGGACCTATAGGTCCCGGGTTCGATCCCCACCCATGTCACCGATCTTGTGCCCTTGGGAAAGGCACTTTGCACGACTTTCCTCACTTCACTCAGGTGTAAATGAGTACCTAGCTTCGGTTAGGACCGTCCCTCCGATAGGACGTAAAATGGAGGTCCCGTGTTTGGGGAGAGCCAAACCCCACGCACGTTAAAGAACCCACCATACCTTTCGAAAAAGAGTAGGGGCATGCCCCGGTGTGCGATGGTACAAACTAATACTGTCTGGGAGTTGGTGATTAACTACAAATCACCCAGACGGAGGCCTGGCGAACCCCCGTCTTGTATTAGCCACGCGGTGATTAACATCATCACCCTATATATGTGCGAGCCGTGGCGAAGCCGCATTGCACAAGCATAGCCACTAGAAAAAGCATGATATCATGCTTCAACTCTGATGAGGATGACTAACAACAACAACAACAACATGTCGTGTAATACAAACGTGAGGGGAAGTTTATAATATGTACATAAGAGGTGTAAAAATACCGTGTTTTCGTTGTCAGTATTTTAACCCCCGAAACTTTGATTTATAATCCTGTAGTCAGTCCCTGATACATTCAGTTGTTTCCATATGAAAAAATGAGGGAGTACTTTAGTTAAGTGTGCATTTGACACTCTACTTTTATATGTAACAGTTACTAGGTTACTAGTACTGACGTTTTCAGCTCATCAAAATGGACCAGCCATCGCCCAATCGATATTTAAATTTGCACTTGAAGGCTGATTATATAATGCATGTCTAGGCACTAAGAGCTTATTTTTCAGTCTACTTTAAAAGTACGTCAAGTTCAAGTAGTATTCAACTGTCGATGTCTGTTAGCATCAGAAAAGGATCTGAAAACCACATCAGTTACATTTCCATTCGACAGAATGTTTTGCACTCGACTTTGGTAAAAAAAAGAATCAAGAAAAACGAGATTTCCTGGCTGAGCTTGACTGTATCTGATAAAAGACGACCGGAATCAGGTTAAGGTCACTAGTGTGTGGTGTGCTGCGGGTATTGGAGTGGGCTATATATTTACAACTCATAGCACAGTCACCGTGATAATAGTAATTGTAAAGGACCTTTAGACCCTCGAAGAGCCACCGAGGTGGTCTAGCATTTCAAAATGCCTGAGGGGTTTAACCTTGTTGGCCGTCCAAGTTCAATCTATGGAATGATAATAAAGAGGACCGTGTGCTACATACACATGTGCAGCGTAGAATCTCGTAACACATACAAGTGTGATTTTTTTTTTGCAAGTTGGCGTTTTTTGGCTTGCCCTGGCCGGTCATTAGAGAATCAGGTAGCAGCAAAGAACGTGAAATTTCTGTTTTCCAGACAATCGTGATGCTCTCACATGATTAACACCTACCCCCGGTAATGCTTAGGTCACAATTACACTGGTGGCTTTTTCCCAATTGTGACCAAAGCCGGGTGTTCTTAGTTAGACATTCACTTGACATGCACAATAACGTTTTAAGGTTAAGCACTCGGCTACGCGGCTGATCCCTGTTTTTCTTGCACAGCTCACAGTGTGGATAAAACATAAACAAGAGATGCCAGGAAACGTGTTTATGATCACAATCGTCAAGGCCGTTTTATAATTGGTAAAAAGGTCATGCAAGTAAAGAGTAAGAGCTGATTATCCAACAGTTTGCCTCTCCCGAGCTGACTAAGTCCCCTGGCATATCATCTGTCTGTTGCTATTTGCCTTCGTCAGAAGGCTATGGAATCACTTTGCTATCGTGTGGGATACTGTGCGGCATAACTCTTCAATGTTAATGAGTTTTGGCAGGCAGGTTACCGTTGTAGAGACCAAGGTGACGTTCAAATATGGGCCTCATTGGGGGTCCCTACGACAGTGTTGTGGACCTTTTGTGTTTTTCGTTTTTCTTTTTGGTCCATATTTCCTTTTTTTCCAGCTGCTTCCCGAAGCCTGGTAGAGACGAATATCCTTTGCGATATACCGTGCACTGTATTTGACATCTTGTTTTTTTGCTTCAGGTCATAAGAACCGGTACCTGTTAGTGACAGTCGGCTGTGTGATGTTGCTGGTCACACCTGTACCCAGTATGGACTTCGTTGAGGAAGGAAATTACACCCAGTCCTACCAGAACCAGACGACTACAGGGCCGCCACCTATGGAGGTAACTTACGCTGTCATCTGTGTTTATTCATATCATTGGGGGGATTTATTGACTCAGAGATAGATATATGTTGAGTTAAAGCTGTTGTTCCAACACATCTAGAGCTTTCGCCTGTGGTCTTCTTTAATAGACTGGCCCAGTGAGGCTTGTCACTTGGTAGTAAACGTTGGCCTAAAAAGGAATGTAACTGGCCAAGAGAGTCCACCGGCCATAGAGTGTCCAATTTGCCCAGTTACGTTCATTTTTAGGCCGATTTCTACTATTTGTTCAGCCTGCAAAGGAATCTGGTGGAGACTAGTTTTCTTTTTATTATTCCAACATGTAATCACAAGACGCGATGACGGCACACATTTTTAAACTTATTTTTATGCTGCCACCAACATAGAGGACAACACAATTCTCATTTTCTGAAGTGAGATCCGTGCCTTTCCCAAGGGTGCCAGACCGGTGACATGGAAGGGTTCGAACCCGGGACCTCTTGGTGCTGAGATGAACACTCTACCGTTATGCCACACGACCCATCCCACACAGAGACTAGTGTTTTGCTACCATAACTGTCATGTCTTTTCAGGCGACAGCCTACCTGATGACGACCTTCAGTGCAGTGGTGTTCCTGGTGGGTCTGACCGGCAACTCGCTGGTGATCTACGTCGTGGCGCGGTTCAGTGAGATGCACACCGTCACTAACTACTACATCTCTAACCTGGCGATCACTGACCTGGCGTTCCTCATCTGCTGTCTACCCTTCACTGCCATCAACTACGTGGCGTTAGAGTGGAAACTGGGACTGTTCATGTGCAAGTTTGTCAACTATATGATGCAGGTGCGGATAACACGAACATTGATAATGCTAGGATATTGGAATTTCCTTTTCACAACCAACAAAGTGTCTTCTAACTTGCCTACGTTTTTGTGTCTATCAGACACCTTCCTTACACTACCAACTTCAGTCACTACCAGCTTCTGACTGGCTGCTACTCGACACTAGCATATCTAGCCGATGTAGGTGGCGCTTTTGCGGCGAAAACACAATCCCAAACGTGGCTGAATTTGTATCCCCCCTCGGCGAGAAGCAGAACTCCAGTCAGAAGCTCTGAGAAAGGCCCTCGTTTGTGAGGGAATGCTAGAATAGCTTTCTTTCATAAGACAAGACTGTCATTGGGTGGAGAATATGCTCATCATCATCATCATCATCCCTCTGGATTATACTCAACTGATATAATTCATGCAAATTATTTTCATAATGAATGAGAAACAGTTACAATTCGCTAGTCGTAAATGTTAGCGTCATCTGGCGAAGGTACGAGATCGTGGTACTCTAGTTAGAGGTAAAATCATATTGAGGTAAACATCTGTATATTGTAGTAACATGGGTGAAGGTTTCGTAAAGCATACCCTTTTTAGTATGACAGACACACTTGGCCCTACGACAAAAAGCTACGACAAGCGTAAGTGCAAAGCTTTTAACGTGGGCCTCTTCAATACTATCTTAAGTGGTTTTTCAAAGTGAAAGCAATCAAACAACAAGTTCTAAACCAACTCCATTACCCCAAGGACATACGAGATCTTCGATTTCTTATTTTCGTCGAGCTCACGAGTAGATGACAAAATCCTATGCCGATTTACGTTCTACGCTTCGCTAAACGTACTAGCCCGGTGTCCAGTATATCGTGGTTGGGGCGGGTTTTCTTCAGAGCTGCAGGAGCTCTTCCCCGCCCGGTTCAGCTAGATTCCCCGGTAGGTTTTGCACGATGGGAGTTCCCACGATATTGTGGTGGGCCTGATATAATAAACTCCTGGCGTACAAAAGCAAAGCTCCTACAGGCGTAACACTCCCACCGGGCGGCCTGTTGGGCTGGGCGGGGGAGAACTAAGAGAAGTCCCGATCGCGAAGACAGCCTGCCCAAACCACGATAGACTGAATACCAGGCCAGGACAAACGTTAACGATTCTGTAGAGTTTTAAACTCGTTTTTAACATGTAATTCCTTGGCTCTAGGTGACTGTGCAGGCGACTTGTCTAACGCTGGCCGTGTTGAGCGTAGACCGCTACTGTGCCATCGTCCACCCAGTGTCGTCCATGTCATTCAGAACCAAGAAGGTGGCTAAAATCCTGTGTGCGTCCGTGTGGGCAGGTATGGATTAAAGACAGAACATTAACAAACATCTTAAGTGAACCTTTCATATATATAGTCAAATACAGCTCTGCAGTATGTAATATATAGTCAAACACAGCTCTGCAGTATGTAATATATAGTCAAACACAGCTCTGCAGTATGTTAAATATAGTCAAACATAGCGCTGTAATGTGTAATATACAGTCAAACATAGCGCTGTAGTATGTTATAATTTGTACGTTATCGTTGCAGCGTCCCTTCTACTAGGCATCCCGGTGGCAGTCAACTATGAGCTGGTGGGATATGACTACTACGGGTGGCGGACGTACTGCCGTGAGGTGTGGATGAGTGAGTCCGGGCAGCGCGGGTACATGCTGTACACCGTCCTGCTGGCGTACGTCCTGCCGCTGGCCTGCTGCGGAGCCTGCGGCGTCCTCATCATCCGCCGCCTGCTCACCCGGATGGAGCGTGCCCCGACCCAGCAGCGCAACCAGGCCCGTCAGACCAGACGTAGGAAAATATTTGTTACAAGTTCCTGCCAGTATGCTTATTGCAAGTACATGTAACAGGCCGGGGGTGCCAAAGAATTCATACGAATTTTAGGGAATTCATACGAATTGTACGGAATTCATACGAATTGGACGGAATACATACAGTCCATTACAAGAAACATACGAATTTTACGGAATACATACGATCCATTACTAGGAAACATACGAATTTTACGGAGTACAAACGATCCGTTGCGCTGAAACATACGATCCTTACTAATTTGGTGACTTGCGCCTCGCGATCACGTGACATCGGCAGCAAATTCAAGATGGCGGACTATCCCTACAATATCTTGGTTTTAAATTACTTTAAGGGCTTATCCCGCCCTGCTAAACACCAGAACCCCCAAGTTGCACTTATGCTGGCTTCTTTGAAATTCGTGATGGCAATTTGAAATAAAATGTGTTCCACCTTGTTTGGCATGCAGTATTTACAAGTTCTTTCGCACACAGGTACGACCTGCATCATCGTCAGCGTTGTTGTCATCTTCGCCCTCTCCTGGCTGCCCAACCACGCTATCAACCTCTGGCGTGTCTTCAACCTGGATGCAGACATCACAGACGCCATTAGCGCCCTGAAGACCGCAGCTCTCATCCTCTCCTACTCCAACTCCGCCGTCAACCCCTTCGTGTACACGCTGATCGGAGAAAACTATCGCAACTGCCTGAAGAAGTCCTGTCCGTGCACGAGGAGGAAGAGTTCGTCCCGGTTCAGCTCCACCGTGACCAGATGTTCGTGTCTGCACGGCGCCAAGGGGGAGATGACCGTTAACCTGGGCATGCGCGTGGCACACGTGCGGAACCCGCCACTGGAAATGAAGACCTCGTACCTGCCCTCGGAAACTGCGCAGGTCTCTCTGCCTGAATTTGATAACGATGATAAAGTAATGTAGGGCCAAACGTTGAAAAAAGGGCCGACTATCAATATTTGTACCTTATATTATCTAGTCCTTCATTGCCAAAAAAGTTTGGTCATAAAATATCTTATCATCATCATTCAAGTACTTGAGCTTGAATGATGATGATAAGGTAATATAGGGCTAAACTTTAAAAAAAAGCCGAATACTAATATTTGTACCTTTTATTATCTAGCACTTCATTGCCAAAAAGTTTTTCCCCACATTACCTTATCATCATCATTCAAGTACTTGAACTTGAATGATGATGATAAGGTAATATAGAGCCAAACTTTGAAAAAAGGCTGAATATTAATATTTGTACCTTTTATTATCTAGCCCTTCATTGCCAAAAAATTGGCCCTATATTACCTTATCATCATCATTCAAGTACTTGAACGTGAATGATGATGATAAGGTAATGTAGGACCAAACGCTGAAAAAATATATTTGTAACTTTATTATCTAGCCCTTCATTTTAAAAGAAAGGGTCATTTTGGTAGATCACAGATATCTGGCAACTCTGTTCCTTTTCTAACTACTTCGAACCACATAAGGGCGACAAAAAATTACGGTTATTTTTTAACCATTGCAATCATATCAAGCAATAGCTTTCGTGATTGTAGCTTCACGGCTCACATTTTCGGTACGAAGACTGCTACAGTAACAGTTGATTTAAATTCATTGCAATAAATACCATGTACAAGGTTGTACATATCGCTACAAACGTACAACAATGATACGAATCTGGTGGTATCATGATTAGAATGTACCTTTTGCATTTGGAAAAAGGTATGCCATCCCAAAACCTCTTGTAGTGGTTGTGCAATAACGGCCATTTGCCTGACCAAGCCCAATCTACTACCTCCTAAGAGCAATATCATCAATATCAACTGGGTAACAACGCGACTTACATAATTATCCTTCATGATGAATTCACAGAACATCAAATCTCAGGGTGGAAAATTTTGTCCTGACCATTTTTTTCAGGATAGGTGATTTTCAGTCCACCAACAATTTTACACTAACTGTATTGTGCGTTTCGCCACTGTTGAAGCGCATTAAATTTTATACAAAAATGAGCTTATATGAGCATAAATCCAAAATATCACATTTAGCTAAATTGTGTCGTAAATTCCTATAGTAAATCTGACTAATCGGGTTTAGCAACAGGCAAGGCCTTTACAAACAAAAACACTTCATAACTCGCAGTACTGATAGAAAACGCAGACGTATAAGATACACCGGTCCCAAATTGCTTCCTGGCAGATTTTTTAACGGTTGCAAAATTTTAAAACGTTTCCAACAAAATGCAATTTTTATCGTCTATCTGGCCTACATGTAACTTTCCGGAAATGACGTCAACGTCGATTCAAATGTGCCCGGAAGCCGATACCGCCCACCGTCCTGGTTAATAGTAGATGTTTAAGCTTAACATGCAGTTCAATTTTTTTCGCAAGCTACGTAATGACATACACCGCATGTAGACGAGCTGTATGTAAACCACCAAACTAGCCTGTGTACTATATTGATTACACTGAATGTTTTTGTGGCCATGCCAGAACAAAGACTAAAAACAGCAGCAATAAATGTGTGGATCCTCTCGACAATCTGCTGGGCGATAGGGGCATGTGAACAGCAAATCATGTTCTTCTGTTGAGCGTAGCGGTTCAGTTAACCACCAGACAGATACTTTAATTTGAAGCTATAAATTACATCAACGAAGGCCTTCTTTTAATGTGGTTTTCTCACGTAATACATTTACAAGAATTACATTTTAGGACAAAATTCTGTAACAGGAAGCCGAATGCGAAAAGGCTCTCTTGACAATCTTGGACAATTTATGATTGTCAAGGGGTCAATTTGATTTTCAATTGATTTATATCCACAGAGACAAGGGAACTCTTTGAGAGAACTCATTTATTCATCATTTATTATGATTCGTACCACAAGTTGTGGAAGGATTGACATAACAGGTGACTATCACCTTTTCAAGATGTCAGCCCAGAGTAAGGTTTGAACCACTTACACCGGGAAGGATCCCTGCTGTTTTCAATAATCGTGGTGGGATCTTTAATGTGCTCGAGGTGTATATTCTTAAACACGGGACTTTTATTTAACGTTCTATCCGAGGAAAGTCTCTGACTGAAGCTAGGTACTCATTTTTACACGAGACAAGTGAGGAAAAAGGCAGAATTCTGGGGTCTGCCAGGGATTCGAACCCAGAACCTTTGGATTCTGAACAGCCCTAACGAAGTCCATTGGTATTGGGCAGACCAACTTACAGACGTAACATGGAGGAGACATGATGGCTTAATTTATTTCATGTATGCAATATCTCGATGATTTTGTATACATAGATCTTTCTAGCTTTTTCCTTGTACATATGTAATATACATTGAGCTAAATCGTTGCACAAGACACTCATGTTGTGAAAATTTGTACTCCAGGTTTGATATGGAAAAGAGAAATATAATACCCAAGGTTGTATACTATTCGAACATATAATAGAAGGCTACATTGGATACACAGGGCCTTGACATCAACTCGTGCCATGACTGCTCTAAAGCCGTTATTAAAGCACAGTTGACAGTGACTAAGATAAACCTAATGTGCTTTAAACTGTTGTATAGGATGCACGTAAGTGATGTCACTAATAAGCCTGCACAGGGTTCGAAATACTTTTTTCTCAGGTTGACCACCAGGCAACCTAAAGCGACGGTCACAACTCGCCGTGCGTGCTTCTGCGTGCTGTCTACGTGCAAAAACGTGGGCAATCGTACGGCATCCGTGCGTGGTGAGTACCACCTCCGTACGGAATCCTACGGATTTGGGAGCACGCAGACACGGCGTAGAACTTTAAGTGCATGTAATACTTTTTCTACGTGCGGTCTGCGGATTTACCACCCGTGCGTGCGAGTACGTGCGACGCGCGTGCCCCGTACAGCCTATGAGCGTGCAACGTACGGACTCCGTGAGTCTAAGTTCACTATTCTCACGTGCAATTGCTGTACGGACAGCGCACGAAGCACGTGCGTGACACGCACGGTGCTTGCGTCATCCGTGCTTACTCCTCACTTCCCAGTTGACCTGCTCAATGACCACGCAGAACACACGTGCACCATACCAGGTGCTCCGCACGTGCAACGCACGTGCAACGCACCTGATTTCTACAGTATATAAAGACGACTTGACCGGCGACTGCCAACTCGTCTCCAAGATGCCCAGGAAGGCTCAGAAGAAGACTACCAGACAAGACCCAAAGAAACGGGCCGCGGAAGACACCAGGGCGGCTAGTGATGATGAAGTTAACAGGAGGTGCACGCACTTACAACGTGCGAGTGAGTAAGGAAACCGTGCGTACGCCGCACGTGTAGGTACGGCCTGTACGCGGCAACGTAGCAATCGCACAGAGATTGAGCGTTGTAAGCACGTACAACTCACTTACCACTTGCGCAACGTACGATGCACGCAACCGCTGTCGGCCAGGCGTGTCGTGCAGACCACGTACGTACACCTTGCGCAACCGTGCGAGTGACGTACTCCCTCGGCCGGCCACCCTACGTTTGCAGAAAAAACGTAGCAGACGTAGCCACGACAAAAACGTACTGACAAAAAGCACGCACGGCGAGTTGTGACCGAGGCTTAAGTCGAAAGCTAGGTTCCCTATCAATATTTCAGGTTGGCTTCAACGCCGACAGTTTGTTGCAGAAGGCAAGCCGTAAGCCTGGTGTAGCGATCTCGGGGTCTGATTACTGAATATTCAAACATAGACGACATCAGAAGTTGAGCTGACTCCTAAGTTATAATCTGATTTCTCCAAGCCATGTAAGGCGGAGTGATACAATCTAAGGGATGTGTATCTAAGCTCCCTTAGGTGTAATCTGTGTGCCAGATGATAAGAAAGTAGTGCTAGGCAAGGCCTCTTGGGTATCAATGACTTGCCTGATGATGAATATATAACACCAGGCCCTCTGTAAAGGTATCGCTGACATGCTGGCCGAGGCAGGACACAGTGTATTTAAGTCAATTTGCTGTGTCCAGATTTGATCCTTCTTGTACCCCAGGCGTTGTATTCCTTTTGATGTTCATCAATATGTACTGTACATATTCTAGGCTTATTAAACAAGAATTGACTCAGGCCATGTTTATTTGATAATTTGAAAATTGTACAAAGCAAATTGATCAAATATATGCCGTAAATTGCAAAAAAATGGAGGACGATACTCATGTCGTAGAATGACATCAATTCCAAAGGAAAAGAAGAAGATGTGAAGAAATTGAAATGAAGAGTCTATTATTCACCATACCATACTCTGTGTGTTTAGTCATTTAGCCAATCCTCGTGACCACGTAGATTTCATGATGAAGGCAACATTTTTTGGGGCAAACTTTTTTATTCGCACGCTCGCATCAGTTTTGGAGATGTCATCCATATAATCATATCAGCATGGCCTTAGACATGATATGTTGTGACAGCATCGGCAAATACCATCAGTGTTTGACCGGATATTTCGTATCAATTGGCACATGTGTAACTTGTCATTACTGATGTGAAGATTTTCAGATGACAAGTTATTTGGAAAGAGGCTTTAGATCCTTCACAACTGTCACATACGGACTCACAGTCTTTTATCAAGCTATGATTACGTTGATTTCTTGTCCATAACTTGAGCTGGGTACAGGGAAGAAATATGGACTGTAATATTTTTGGAAGACATGAAAAAGTGGAAAGAAATGATATTACGCACTGCCAGTTTTTCTGATGTTAACTTATGAATATTAATGCTGGTAAGGAATTAGTTTGTGCGGTACGTTTGTGCACTATAGTTCCTCGAATCTGTATTTGATATTCGTCAACGCAATAATGAATATTCATAATTATAAATATCTGGAAAAGGTAAATTGTTATACTGTGAAACACGTTTCTGTATTGTTATAAGCAATAGTTTATCATGTTGAACAATATGGTAAAAATATGTTGTAAGTTGTCGAGAAACGTAATTTTT